CCCCCCCACACAGTGTAATTGGGTCCCAGAAGTCTTTTATACATATGCTTAAAAGGCTTCAAATAAATGAAAGCAGAGAACTGAAAGGAAAATACATAATCATATTAGGAGATGTTAACATTTCTCTCACAGTAACACAGAAAAAAGTACACCAAAAAAAAAAGCAGTAAAGTTACAGAAGATCTGAACACACTATCAATCAACATGTCTTAAAACAGCGGAATATTCTTTTCCAGTTCACATGGAACACTGGCAAAGACAGACATTATTCTGAGCTTTAAAAAAACTCTCAATAAACTTAAAAGGTCTGAAATATACAGAATATATTCCCTTATTACAATGGAATTAAAGCAGAAAGATATTTGGAAATATTCAAGTATTTGGAAATAAAATTTTCACAACTCCTAAGTCATAGAGGAAATGATAAGAAATCAGAAAATATTTTGAACAGAGTGAAAACAGAACCTATCAGAATTTACAGGATGCAGGTTAAGCAGCGTTTTGAACAAAATGCTATTTTATAAAAGAAAGTCCAAAACACAATGATCTGTTCCCACCTTAAAAAGCTAAAAAAAAAAAAAAAAAAAAAAAAAGAATTAAATCCAAAGCAGGGAAAGAGGGGAAAAAGAAGAAATTAACAAAGTAGAAGGTAGACAAATAGAAAGATAAATCAATAAAACCAAAAATGTAAAAGAAAAATAAAGGGATATTCTAAACAATATATGAAAATCAATTTTATAACTTAGATATATAGATGAGATTCTACTAAAACTGTGTCAAGAAAAAAAAGAGAAAAGCTGAACACCTCTATAGCTGTTAAATAAACTGAATTTGAGTTAAAAAAAAAACAACAAACTTCCCAAAGAAAACTACACCCAGATGTTTTCACTGGTCAATTCTACCATATATTTGAATTTCAAAAACATACCAACAATACATAAATCCCTTCAGAAAGTAAAAGAGAAGGAAATAATTCTTAATTCACTTTATGAACATCATTACCCTGATAATCAAAATCAGATGACACTACCAAAACCCCCCCAAAATTGAATGTTAGTATTTCTTCATGACCATAGCTGTAAAAAATCCTTAAAAATATATGAGCAAATTAAATCCAGAAAAAAATATTAAAAGAAAACATCACGACCAACTCAGAAGTATTCTAGTAATGCAAGGCTGGCTTAATATTCAAAATTAATGTGATTCACTACACTAACAAGCTAAAAGAAAAACACCATGTGGCCATTTTAACAGATACAATAAAAGCATCTGACAAATTCCAACACTCACTCATGATAAAATAAGAACTCAGCAAACTAAGGATCTTCCTCAATCTACAAGGCTATCTACAAAAAGCCTACAGCTAACATACTTAATATGGTGAAAGACTAAATGTTTTCTACCTAAGAGCAGAAATAAGATAGAGAGATATACACCAGTACAGTAAGGCAATATGCAAGAAATTCTGGGAGCAACTGAAAAATGAAATTAAGAAAAACACTTCCACTCAGAAAATCATCAAAAACACAAAATAATTAGTGATAAAGTTAATAAAATACATGCAATGATTATACAATAAAGGCTATGGAACACGGCTGAGGGAGATTAAAGATGACCTTAAAAAAACATAGATCTATATCATGTTCATAGATCAGAAGACTAGTTGTTAAGATGACAACTCTTCCTATATTGATCTATTGATAAAAAAAAAAAATCCCAATCAAAATCCCAGTAAAATATTTTATGTAAGTCAATAAGTCAATTCTAAAATCGTATATGGAAATGCAAAGGATCTAAGCAGCCAACAATTTGAAAATCAACAATGTTGAAGAAGTTAACACTATCTGACTTAAAGAATTATCCACACACAGTCATATACCCGTGTATACACACAGTCAAGTGATTTTTGTCAAAAGTGTCCAACTAATTCAATGGGGGGAAATCTTTGCAACAAATGATGCTAAAACAAATGGATATCAATTTTTAAAAAAAGACAGAAGACCTGAATAGACATTTAACAACAATAGCTATATACATAGCAAGTAAGCACATGAGAAGACGTTTTACATCATTATACATCAGAGAAATCCATATTAAAACTATCATGATACCACTGTATATGCAAGGGTATATATGGCTAAAAGTTGCCGACATATAAAGTGTTGCTGAAAATGTATAACAATAAATGGTTATGTGCTAGACAGAATTCTAAGATGGCTTCTGAAATTCCCAGCCCCTGGTATATATCTTCTTCCAGTTATTCAAACAAAATCCAGGTACAGCTGCAAAGGAAATTTGTATATGTACTTAAGGTTCCAAATCGGTAAGATTATTCAAGTGAGTCTGCTGTAATCCTGAGAGTCTTTTAAAAACAGAAAAGCATAAAAAGAATTCAACAGAAGTTAGATGGAGTGGGCCATGTGCCACTGAATGCAGGCAGTCTATAGGAGCTTCTGAGAGTAGCCTCCGGCTCACAGCAAGGAAACAGAGACCCAATCCTACAAGAGCAAGAAACTAAATTCTGCCAACAACCTAAAAAGAGCATGAAAATAGACCTTTACCCAAAACTTCCAGACGAGAACTCAGTCTGACATCTGGATTTCAGCCTTGTAATACTGTGAAGAAAACCTGTGATGAACTTGGACCTACAGAACTATGAAATAATCGGTGCTCTTTTAAGCTACTATGTTTGATAATTTGTTACAGAGTAACAGGAAACTAACACCCAGACATATAGCATATATGGCAAAAAATAAAAATGTTGACATACCAAGTATGGGTGAAAATGTGGAGTGCACCTGAAATTTTTATACATTGCTGGTGAGAACTGAGAATGGAAAGAAGTTTGGTGGATTCTTAAGTTTAACATAACACCCAGCAATGAAAACATGTTCACACATGTATACACATATGTTCATAGAAGCTTTATTGTTAATAGTCCAAACAAGAAACAATCTAAATATCCATCAACCGTTAAATGGATAAACAAACTGTGATGTATCCAGACATGGAGTACTGTACATTAACGAATAGAAAAGACTATTGATACACACAACAACATAAATAAATCTCAAAAGCAATATGCTAAGTGAAAAAAGCCAGACACAAAGGTTACATACTGTATGATTGCAATTATAAATGCTAGAAGAGGCAAGCTATAGTTACTGAAATTTCAGGGGTTGTATGTGGGGGGGGGGTTCAATGCAAAGGGGTACTGGGTAACATTTCAGGGTAAAAGAAACGATCTATATCTTAATTGTGGTGGTGCTTGCAAAACTATATACAGATATCAAGACACATTAACTGTACACTTAAATTTTATTATATGTAAGCTGTATCTCAATAAAGCTGATGTTTTAAGACTCAACAAGGAGTCTCAAGTATAGTGGAATTGCTTCATAATACTTAGATTAAGTCTTTAGTTAAGAAAGATCAAAATATCACTTTCTTTAAAATAATAATATAGTTCCCTGCCATACTATTATTCACAATTCAAAAACTATACAGATTTTTATTTTTGTAAGATACCTATACATTTCAAGGTGGCAAATTATACATTTTTCAGATTAATCTTGCAGTACCATGAGAAACCAGAAACTGCTTAGTAATAGTAATCTTTACCACTATGATTCTTTCACCCTTTACTTAGTCCCTTCTCAGATTTTAAACATCACAAAGTCAGCAACTGTCCTATCCCTTGCCAGACTTGACACTGTCCTAAATTTATTCAAGGAAGAATTTTATAGGTGTATGTAAAAATTTAGGTAACTTTAAGGAACTTGGTTTAAGTGGCATTTTAAGCACCAATGTGTTAAAGAATGTGGTTAGATTAGCAGGACATATTAGCAGACTCAAGAAATTTTTAAATGTCCAGTTATTAAAGAACTTTAGATTCTCACTTTCCTTGATGCTCACTTTTCATAATGAGCATCTATTAAGCATTTGGTTCTACATACACTTTAAATAAGCAGTACTCTAAGAGTGAAGTAATATTTATAGTTCACAAGGAAAGCCTACAACCAAATAAGACAATGCAGTCACCTCTTAAAGCCTACTCAATAAAGATAAACATCTAAATATTCTGACAGCATGCCCTCAGAAAATATTCTGAACTTTACAGTATGTATGCACCTATAAAATTTATTTTTATTCTCTTACATCTTGACACTCTAAAATCAAAGTAACTCTAAACAAAATGAATTTTAAGAGATTCCAAAATATTTTCACTTCTTTGCCAGAAAATTTCTTTAGAAAATACTTACCTATTCCTCCTGATTTAATGTGTACCAAAATTGATAATCATAATAAAGTACATTTTAAAAACAGTGAATAATG